TGTCTCCTCTAGGATTCCTATTTATCTGGACAGAAGCCCTTCTATATCTAACTTTCATTTTTTTTATTGTTATATTTTTTAAAGATTTTATTTTTTTCCTTTTTCTCCCCAAAGCCCCCCGGTACATAGTTGTATATTCTTCCTTGTGGGTCCTTCTAGTTGTGGCATGTGGGATGCTGCCTCAGCGTGGCTTGATGAGCAGTGTCATGTCTGTGCCCAGGATTCGAACCAATGAAACACTGGGCTGCCTGCAGCGGAGCGCGGGAACTTAACCACTCTGCCACGGGGCCAGCCCCTATATCTAACTTTTAAACCTCTTGGTTTTGATTTTATGTGTTCTCTCTATCATTTAGTGCTACATTATCAGAGAGTTCTCAATGTCATCTTCCAACTCATGATTTTGTCCATTAGCTATATACCTCAACTATCATCCAGTCTAATGGATTATTTTCACCACATTTTTCATACCTAATATTTCTACTTGGTTCTATGTTTTTTCGTTCTTGCATTATATTACTAACATCTTTCTTATCTCCTTAAATATATTTACCATGCTTATTTTTAACTCTTGGTCAATCTTTTCCAATAATTCTCCATCAGATGGTATATGTTATTTACTTAGTTATCTTTCTTTGAGAATACTATTCAGGTGACTAGTTTGGCTGTAAACTCATGTTCTTCTGGGATACCAGCCACTCTGTCTGGTAGGTCACCAGGCCCTAATTGTATCCAACCTGGTGACTTTAAGAAGAGAGAATGAGCACCAGGGACCTCCCAACTACTGTCGTTTACTCCCATCTGTTGGTCATTCCACAGGCAATGCCTCTGGTCAGGATTTCACATTTACACTCTTAGGGAGAAACAGCACTGGGCAGAGAGAGTCTTTCTAGGTTGAACCTACCAATCTGTCAGTTTGGAGAGGGTGGGGAGATAAAAAAGTGATCCCCAAGGGCAGTTAGGCCAGAGAAGTTTACATAAGGGCCATCAGAGCCCCAAACAGACCTTCTGAATGGATATGGAGGCCTGGATCACTATTGTTCATTTCTGTGGTGAAGGGACAGGCAAAGACAGTCTCAAGGCAACACCAATGAGAAATAACAACAGAAATTGACAGCCATCTTCCAATCTATTTTCTCACTGCTATCTCTGGCACTCCTTAGTCTTAGATTGCAGCTGTCAAAACCCACTCACCCATAAACACGTACAGGTTCAAGAGAGCCTAGTCTCCCTGCACTTCCCTCTCACTCCGCGAGTTGATTTTGGGTGATGGAGGTAACAACCGGGACTAGGTCTGACAGAAAAAGGAAACCAGCCTAGAAAGCATTTTCTTCATCAAAGGTGTAGAACTTTTGCTCAATTTCAACCATTCCTAATCCAGTTTAGAAATCCAAGGCAAGTGAATGAATGAAAAATTAGTATTTAATAGCAGAATATCTTACCACCAAAAAAAGTACCCTGGGGCATCTAGTTTAGAGAGCAATGATAAGTACTTTCTAATTCTTTCATGGATACTCATAACATCTCTAGCTTCACACGTTTGAAAACACATTTATTTTTTCAAACTTTCATTAACCATGGACTTATAAAGCACTCTGTGTAAACTTTTGGGTGAAATTTAAAAAAAAACAAAACTCTATAGTTCTGCTCACCAATATTTTTGACATCTAAGTGTCTTTAAAGTAACACAATTCCCCAGTCCTCTACTGAGGATCAACGACCATGGCAAGCACTCACAAACACACTTATACAACTATCAGCCTCAAGCTAATCTGAAAATATGTTAGAAACAGAGAAATTAGCAGAAAGGATGCTATTTTCAACAGTAGGCAAGAAAGGAAAGGACCTAACCTAGAACCTTAGACATCCTTACACAGAGTTGGTAGACAGTTGACAAGACTCGGCTAGTAAATGAATTTGGTCGTTCTCTATAATAAGGGTACCAAAAAAGTTAACTCAACCTTAAATCCCACTGAGGAATACAGTTTCTAGTATCAAAGAGGTAAGGCTTTTGCTCTATTCTGGTACTAGTAAGATGATATCAGTAATTACTTTCAGTTCTGAGAACCACACCACATGCTCTGAAGGTTAATTTTTTTTTTTAATTTTTGCCAATATGATGGTTGGGAAATTATGGTATCTTTTAAATTAGTATTTTTCTGACTACTAATAAGGTTGACTATCTACTGATGAAGAAATGTGAATAGCTAATTAACTTCTGTGAATCGTCTGTTCATATTCTTTATCAATCTTCCTCAGATTATTTCTTTCTTTAAAAATCTGGTTCTGAAAGCTCTCTGTATTTTAAGGAGTCTGACCCTTTCTCAGCTATGTGTTACAAATATTTTCTCCCAGTCTATCATCTGCATTCAGCCCTTATTTACAGAGTTTTTTCTAAATAACTTTTCTTCAAAAAAGTTGTCAAAATTTGTTGGTTTTTGCTTGACAAGCTATTTTCTGTTTTTCCTAAGACAGTCTCTTCCACTGGACATAATACAAACACTATCCCATATCTTGCTCACTTTTTCACATTCAGACCTTTGGTTTGAAGTCGAGATCCAAGTAGAGACTTTCCACTTGAAGGTCTATTGTACCAATAGCCCTTAGTAAATAAAAACACTTTCCCCCTCTAAATTGAACTGCTACTTTAATAACATTTTAAAGTTCCATAATTCCTTGTAACAGCTGGATACTATTCTTTTTCTACTGTCTATTCTTGGGCCAATACCATGCTGTTTTGATTAGAGGTTTCTTGTAATTTTTAATATCTGGGATTCCTCCCTTTTATTCTTTTCTCAGTTTTCTAAAATGTATTCACTTAAAGGGTACTTTCCCTAGGCACAGATAATAAGATGGAACTGGGTACAAATTTTAAGATGTATGTTGGGGGCTGGCCCTGTGGCCAAGTGGTTAAGTTTGCATGCTCCGCCTTGGCAGCCGGGATTCGCCAGTTCGGTTCCTGGGCATGGACCTACACACTGCTTATCAAGCCATGATGTGGTGGCATCCCACACAGAAGAACTAGAATGACTTACAACTAGGATATACAACTACGTACTGGGGCTTTATGGAGGGGAAAAAAAAAATGGGGAAGACTGCCAACAGATGTTAGCTCAGGGCCAATCTTCCTCACCAAAAAAAAAAAGCACTAAGTAAAAAAAAAAAGATGTATGCATTATCTTATAACTAAAAAACACAGTTCATAGGTAGAATCTCAATTAGATTCCATACAATAAATACAAATAAAAGAGTAGATGGGCCGGCCCAGAGGTATAGTGGTTAAGTTTGCATGCTCCACTTCAGTGGCCTGGGGTTTGCAGGCTCAGATCCCAGGCGTAGACCTACAAACTGCTCATCCAGCCATGCTGTGGCAGCATCCCACATACAAAAAAAGGAGGAAAATTGGCACAGATGTTGGTTCAGTGACAGTCTTCCTCAAGCAAAAAGAGGAAGATTGGCAATAGATGTTAGCTCAGGGCCAATCTTGCTCACCACAAAAAAAAAATTTAAATAAAATAAAAGAGTAGAAAAATCACATGGACAGATACAACTGATATGTATGGTGAACACTATGCCTCTCATTTGATACTAATAAAAGTGGAGGAAACTGAGGCACAGAAAGGAAAATGGAAGCTCATTAGGCCAAGAATCTGATTAATGGAAAAAACAGAGAGAAAACTTCCACTAAGGGAGGCACAGAGACCTAATAAGATAAAGATCACTAATATTTTATTTGTCCATTACCATCCACATAGAGGTAAAGAAATAAACTGGTGATTCTACAACTCGTCACAGGCAACCTTTCATATAGCCAAGAACAATGGCTGAGCTCAGCTGAGAGAACAGTTACATGAACTCCACGGCCTGTTCTTTTGATCTTCAGAGATTATGAACCCACCCACAAATAGCAATAGAGAATATAAACATTCTATGTCTCTATCAGCATAGAACCCCGAACAGCCTGCTCCCCAATTCCTATTAATAATTGAGTCATCTGGGGTAAGAATGTGGCTTCTCTACTTCTCACTGCAAAACCCACAAAATGTACCAAGAAAAACAAATATTCATATAAAATATGAAACAACCCCAAACTACAGATCAGGAAGTATTCTACCAAATATAATACAATATGGGACAAGTTGATAATGAGTATCATGAGCCAATATATACTTCCACATATCCAAGCACTGTTGGACTCCCCTGAAAATGATGGAGAAGGGATATTTGAGACAAAGATAAATGAGGGTGCAGGCAAACCACAGGGGAGAGAGCAAATAATCTTCTGAGGGTACATTTCCACATGGAGGAAGGGCAAGGGAGACATGGATAAAGAAGAGACTGTGAACTGTGTGTACAGGCCACGTTTATTTTCTCTGACGTGTAAATCAGAGAATCTATAAGGAGAGAGGCTGTGAGGATCAGCATTAGCTGAACAGAATGAAAGAAATCGTCAAACAGATGACGTTATATTAAGAACCACAGTGCACTCTTTCCTGGGTGATCTATTTACCCAAAAGGAGGGAACGCAATACTGAGGAGATAGATACATGGTTCTGGGTCAGAGAACAGAGGCCCTTGTGAGAAAGCATCCTGAGACAAGAAAAGTGAACTGAACCTTCCAGATGCACCAGATCACACCCTTCCCCACACTGCTACTACAGATAATAGTAACAGTAACTAACTGAGCTCATACCATATTCTAGTCACTATTCTGGGAGTTTTACAAGTATTAACTCTTTTAATCCTCAAATCAACCCCAATGAGGTAAGTACTCTTATTATCTCCATTTCACAGATGAAGAAAATGAGGCTCAGAGAAGTTAAATAAATTTCCTGTAACTACATAGCTAGGAAATACAAGACTCAATTTGAACCCAAACTGTCTGGTTTAAAGCTCAGCTTTTAACTATTATGCTATATTGTCTCTCCTGTATTAATATTAAACAATTAGCAAACCCATAAAGTATACAGATTTTTTTATTTATACAGGAAATATTTGCATACCTTGTACTGTAAGCTCTGCCTGAGCTTCAATTGTCTCATTTCCATTATCAGCTATGCAAAAATAAGTCCCAGCATCATCTTCAGTGACATCACTGATCTCCAGACTACCACCTGCCAGCAATACCAATCTTTCAGAGCTGCATAAAAAAACAGTGATACATTTCAGAACTAGGAAAATAATACCTGAGAAACTTTCCACATTAAGCAGAAAAGCAGTTAAACAATATGATTATTTATATGGCTACAGATGGATTGAGACCAATATGAAATTATCAGAATTTAATTTAGTCCAATTTGCTTTGTTCATAGTTTACATGCATAAATATCAAAAATACAAATAAAAATCTTAAAATGAATTATCTCTGACATTTATCATTATTCCCAAAGAATCTAACTTTTGTGACTAATTCTGCTCCCCAGAGTCCATCCTTGCCTCCCTTCTCTGCCCAATTTTTTCTGCAAATTGTGTAATTTTGAAGTCTGGAATCAATTTAAGAGTCATTCCACCACAGCTAGGCCACACTGAGATGACTAAGAGAGAGGGCAAAATGTCAGATCAGAAACAGTCATTCATGGGGTCACAGTTCCTACTGAAAGTTTCCTATGGTGGCCTGGCTAGGGAAGGGAGGAACAGGAGAAGGGAAGGGAGAGAGGACAGCTGCCAGAAAGCAGTTCCCTGGGTGTGAGAGCTGGCGTCAGTCAGCCAGCACCATGCCATTATCAACAGAGGTGCTGATGATCACTGACCCAGCACCACGGAGTGGAGTGACGTAGGTCTACTTACAGAGAACACCTAGAGAAAGTAAACTGACCCCGTGACATCGCGGAGGAAACCTCACATCTTATCCTGGTCAACTTTTTACAAAGTGAACAAGTTTAGTTAGTTTGGAGAGCTACAATTTTGTTTTTATTTTGAGGTTCTATGTCTAAACTGATTTTCATAGGCAGATTTTTCTCTCAAATCTTAACTCACACTTCCTGTCTCTACCTATGCTCAACAAGAAAGTTCTGACTGTAATTCGGCTTTTCATGAAAACAGAATTTCTGATGGGAAAAAATCAGAGGACATGACTATTCAGTCTGTGCCACATTTATAATTTTCATCTTTAAGTAAAGTGCTATTCTAGCTTAAATTTCAGTATACTGTGAGTTTGGGTAATTAGTCTTCTGGAACCTGATAAAATTAAGTTTCTGGGGCTGGCCCGGTGGTGCAGTGGTTAAGTGCGCACGTTCCGCTTCTCAGCGGCCCAGAGTTCCCTGGTTCGGATGCTGGGTGCGAACATAGCACCACTTGGCAAGCCATGCTATGGTAGGTATCACACGTATAAAGTAGAGGAAGAGGGGCACAGATGTTAGCTCAGGGCCAGTCTTCCTCAGCAAAAAGAGGAGGACTGGCAGTAGTTAGCTCAGGGCTAAACTTCCTCAAAAAAAAAAAAAAAAAAAAAGATTAAGTTTCTGGACAAAGAAATAGGAAACCCAGAATCAGGTTTGGTGATTTCTCTAAGAAATACCCTACAAGGTGATCATTAAACTTATCAAGTGGCCTTCCAATTTGAAACATCTTAATTATGCCCTCAAATCCCAACTTGAAGTGACAGAATAGAGAAGCAAGACAACATATCACGGAACAGAGCAAGAATGACCAGGATAGAATAAACAGAGACATAAGATAGGGTTTCAGTGTCTCACAAAATAAGAAAAATTTACTAAAATTAAAATCCTGTATTTTACCCTTGGACAAAATCACTACTAAGCTCCAGAAATGAAAAAGAATGTTCAAAAATGGGAAATCATCGGGGCTGGCCCCGTGGCCGAGTGGTTAAGTTCGCGCGCTCCGCTGCAGGCGGCCCAGTGTTTCGTTAGTTCGAATCCTGGGCGCGGACATGGCACTGCTCATCAGACCACGCTGAGGCAGCGTCCCACATGCCACAACTAGAAGAACCCACAACGAAGAATACACAACTATGTACCGGGGGGCTTTGGGGAGAAAAAGGAAAAAATAAAATCTTTAAAAAAAAAAAAAAAAAGGGAAATCAGCAACATATACATAAGATACCTGGCTGAGAGGAACATAATTTGAAACACTGGTTAGTATGGTACTTTTGAAATTGAGATACAGTAATTTATATCTAATAGTTATACAAGAAAATATTCCTGATACTTGCTATGCCTCATATTTGCCATAACTGAGTACTAGTACAGAAGTCAATCTTTCTTAATGGAGTTGATTTTACTCCCCCAAAAGAAGCCTGGGAGGAAAAATGTCCATTAGCTTGGCAGAATTCATTTAACTTGTTCAGATAACTATATGATGGCTTATAGTAAAATGACAATCAAGTCTTTAGAATTCCAAAATTCAAAGATGCGGGCATAAGCAACAATATGTAAAAAAAACACGCATGGTCAACGGGTACAAGTTGAGTTGAGTGCTGTTGGGCACAGTGACTGTCTGTGTATGTGTCCCTGAGTATAGCCAAGGGTCAATCCAGGACAGCGTGGTGTGCTATGGAGACCTTATTTTTTGGCCAAAGGGAAAGGCTTTTGAGTAGGTGAATAACACGATCAAATTTAGTGAAGAAACAAGAGGAGTGGGGAAAAGACTAGAAGCAGGAGGTCTGGTTGTAAAGTTATTGTAATAGTCCAGAATTAAACAAAAAAAAGATGAACTCTGGTATTAACAACAGGGGTAAAAAGAAGACAAAAAGTATTAACCACTCTTAGAAAAAAGCTGGATGATGAGGGTACGGAGCGGGATTTATTAACTCATTTAACAAATATTTACTGGTGTCTCTACATGTGTCAGGTAGCAACTGGGGATGCAGCAGTGAGCAAAAACACAATCAGTGCAACTCACTGGGACAGACAGACATAAAAGATGACAATTCTACAAAATGGTATACCAAAAGAACCTGCCAGGAAATCAGAAATAGAGAGATCTGCCTGACCAAAGTAACCTTTTGAAGAATGAGGAAATAAGAGATAATGAGGGGGAGAAAAAGATCACAGAAAGACTTGCACATGCAAAGGAACTGTGGCAGAAAGGGCCACAGTGTATTTGGGGATCTGAAAATAACTAGTGTGGCAAAGTATGAGAAGAAAAAAAGAGAGAAAGAAGAGGGTGGAGCCAGACTGCACAAGGCTTTGAAAGCCATTTTAGAATTTGAATCTTCAACCTAAAAACAAAGGAAATCCATTAAACATTTTTAAAATTGGGTGGGGAGTTGAAATGGTGTGGTGAGATTTGAGCTTTGAAAAGACTGCTCTGGCAGGAGTATGCAGACGTATTTGGAAGGAGGCCAGAGAACGTGTGGGCAGAATAGTTAGGAGGCTAATCCAGTAACTGAGGTGACAAGTGACAGTAGCTTGGAATAAGGTGGTGGCAACACAGAAGGATTTTAGAGATATTTCGGAGGTAAAATGGAAAATGTTGTAGATGGATTGGATAGAGAAGTGAGGAAGAAACACATGCCAACGAAGAGTCTTAAGGCTAAGCAGTAAGTGTGAAGGGGAAGCAAAAGGAAAACTGCCTGTCTGATTTAGGTTTTTGTGTGTTGTTGCTGCTGTTGTTACTTGAGTGAGAGAGCTGAGCCTTTTTATAGGCAAAAGACAAAGAGTGCGTGGAGAGGGAAAAGTCTGAAAAGAAGATTCATGAAAGTGCCGGAGAGGATGGAAAGTAATAAGATCTAGACCACAAAAGGATTTCTAAGACTCCTCTTCCTCTAAAACAGCAAGAAAGGAAAGAGAGGTGAAAGCCACATCTTATATACTCTCTGGCACAAAATTTATTCTCTCATTTGTTTTCTTCCTTAAACTTTTCATTTTGAAGTAACTGTAGATTCACATGCAGTTCTAAAAAATAATACGGAGAGATCCCAGGTACACTTTACCCCGTTTCCCCAATGGTACACCTTGTAAAACTATAGCCCAACGATCCTGACGTTTCCATCACCACAAGGATCCTCACACTGCCCTTTCATTGCCACACCACTTCCCTCCCACTCCCTCCTCGTTAACCCCTAGCACACGCTGATCTGGTTCTCCATTTCAGTAATTTTGTCATTTCAAGAAGAATGCTATATAAATAGAATCATGAAGTGTGGAACCTTTGGGGACTGGCTTTTTTCACTCATCATAATTCTCTGGAGAGTCATCCAAGTTGTGCATGTATCAATAGTTCATTCCTTTTATTGCTCAGCAGTGATTCCACAGTGTGGATACACCGTAGTTTAACTGTTCACTCAATGAAGGACATCTGGGTTGTTTCTAGTTTGGGGCTATTATGAATAAGGCTGCTATAAATATCCAGGTACAGGTTTTGTGTGAACATTAAGTCCATTTCTATAGGATAAATGCCCAAAAGTGTAAATGTTAGGTCATACGGCAGTCGTACATGTTTTATAACGAACTGCCAAACAGGTTTTCAGAGTGGCTGTACCATTTCATATTCCTACCAGCAATATCAAAGTGATCCCATTTCTCCACATCCTTGACAGCATTTGGTGGTGTCACTCTTTTCTAATGTTGGCTATTCCAATAGGAACGTAGTGATAACTCACTGTGGTCTTAATTCGCATTTCCCTAAGGGCTAATGATGTTAATTTTTCTTGTGCTTATCTGCCAGCTGTATATCTTCTTTGGTGAAACATCTATTCTTGTCTTTGCCCATGTTCTAACTGGATTATATGCGATCTTTTACTCTTGAGTTTTGAGAGAACCTTATACATTTTACACACTGGTCCTTTATTGGACGTGTGGTTTGCAAATATTTTCTCCCACTCTGTAGCTTATCTTTTCATCCTCTTAATAGGGTCTTTCAATAGAGCAAGTTTTTAATTCTGATGAAATCCAATTTTCCTTTTACAGATTATGCTTTTGTGTCAAATCTAAAAACTCTTTGCCTAGCCCTAGATTCTGATTTTCTCCTATGTTTCTTTTCCAAAATTTCATTTTGCATTTTACATTTAGGTTCATGATTGATTTTGCGTTCGTTTTTTGTATAAGGTTAACTTTTTTCTTTTTTTTCCCTTGCTGAGGAAGATAAGCCCTGAGCAACCATCTGTGCCAATCTTCCTTTTTTTAATATGTGGGTTGCTGCAACAGCATGGCTGAGTGATACAGGTTTGTGCCTGAGATCCGAACCTGCGAACCCAGACCACTGAAGCAAAACATGCCGAACTTAACCACTAGGCGTGGGGCCAGCCCCAAGGTTAACTTTTCATATGAGGCTTAGGTTGAGGTTCATTTTTTTGGCTGTGAATGAGTATCCAATTACGCCAGCAGCATTTGTTGATAAGGTTATCTTTCCCCTGTTGAATCACTTTTACATCCTTGTCAACAGTTAGTTGGGCATTTTTGTGTGGATCTACATCTGGATGTTCTATTCTGTTCCACTGATATATGTGTCTGTCTCTCCATCAACACCATAAAGTCTTGATTATTGTAGCTATATAGTAAATATTAAAATCAGGTAGACTGATTCCTCTCACTTTTTTTTTTTTAAGATTTTATTTTTTTCCTTTTTCTCCCCAAAGCCCCCCAGTACATAGCTGTATATTCTTCGTTGTGGGTCCTTCCAGTTGTGGCATGTGGGATGCTGCCTCACCGTGGTTTGATGAGCAGTGCCATGTCTGCGCCCAGGATTCGAACCAACGAAACACTTGGCCACTTGCAGCGAAGCGCGCAAACTTAACCACTCGGCCACGGGGCCAGCCCCTGATTCTTCTCACTTTTAAAAAAATGTGTTTAAATATTCCAGTTCCTTTGTTTTTCCAGATATATTTTAGAACAATCTTGTCTATATCTACTAAAAATCTTGGTGAGATTCTGACAGGAATTGAGTTAAGCTGTATATCAATTTGAAGAGAACTGACATCTTTACTCTGTTGAGTCTTTCAATCTATGGACATGGTACATCTCTTCATTTATTTAGATCTTTGATGTCTTTTGTTAGCACTCCGTAGTTTTTAGCATACAAAGCTAATAAGTTTTTGTTAGATTTACACCTAAGTATTTCAAATTTTTGTGACTGTAAATACTATTGTATTTATAATTTCAGTGTTTCACATGGTTATTGCTAGTATATAGAAATACAACTGATTTTTACGTCTATCTTGTATCTTGTGACCTTGCTGAACTCATTTCTCAGTTCTAAGAGTTTTTTGTGGATTGTTTGGGATTTTCTATATAGATAAACATATCATCTGCAAATAGGGACTGTTTTATTTCTGCCTTTCTGATCTGTGCGCCTTTTCTTTTTCTTGCCTAACTGAACTTGCTAGAACTTACAGCACTCTGCCAGTGAATTTCCTTAAATGATTCCTGATGTTAAGGGGGAAACTATTGTCTTTCACCATTACGTATGTTAGCTGTAGGGTTTCTGTAGATATTCTTAAGTTATTTTTCTGAAGGCTTTTTTTTTTTTTTTTTAACAACGAATGGGTGTTGAATTTTGTGAAGTGCTTTTTCTCCATTGATTAATTTGATCATGCAGGCTTTTTTCTTCAGTTTGTTAATATGGTGAATTACACTGGTTAATTCTGGAATACTGAGTCAGCCTTGCACCCCTGGAATAAACCCATTTGGTCGTGGTATATATGACTTTTTATACATTGCTGAATTCCACGTGATAATAATTTGTTAAGAATTCTTATGTTTATATTCACGAGGGATATTGCTCTGTAGTTTTCTTTTTTGTACTGTCTTTATCTAGTTTTCACATCAGGGTAATACTAGCTTCAATTCCTTCTCTTCTATTTTCCAGAGAGATTCTGTAGAATTGGTGTTCATTCTTCTTCAAATGATGGTAGAATTCTCCAGTGAAACTATTTGGGGCTGGAGACTTCTTTTCTTGGTAGTTCTAAAACTACAAGTTCAGTCTCCTCAACAGTTAGAAGGCTATTCAAATTCTCTATTTCATATTGGGTTAGCTGTGGTAGTTGGTGTTTTTGAGGGAGTGGTTTATTTTGTCTAAGTTGTCAAATTTACATGTGCACAGCTATTTACAGTATTTCCTTATTATCTTTTTGACGTCTTCAGGGTCTGTAGTGGCGTCCCCTGCTTCAGTCCTAATAGCGATCATTTGTGTCTTCTCTCTTTTTCCCAGTCCACTGATTCTTTGTTCTGTCCCATCCAGTCTGCCACTGAGCCCATCCACTGAAGTTTTTATTTTGGTTACTATCTAGGTTCAAAATTTTCCACTTGGTTCTTCTTTAAATCTTCTACTTCTCTGAGGAGACTTTCTATTTCTTTGCTGACATATTCTATTTTTTTCATTTGTTTCAAGTGTGTTCATAATTGTTCGTTAAAGTATTTTTATGACAACTGCTTTAAAATATTTGTCAGATAATTCTAAAACCTATCATTCTCAGTGTTGCCAACTACTGTCTTTTCTCATTTGAGATTTTCCTCGTTCTTGGTGTGATGAGTAACTTTCAGTTGAAATCTGGATATTTGGGGTATTATGTTATGAGGTTCTGGATCTCACCAAACCTTTTGTTTTAGCAGGCTTCTTCTGACGCCACTCTAGCAGAGAAAGAGCGAGGTACTACTTCATCACCGTCAGGTGGAGACAGAAGTCCAGGTACCCAGCTAGTCTCCATTAATACCTAAGGGAGATGGGGGACTCCTCATTACCCCTTAACAGGGCTGGGAGTTCTGATTCCCCGCTAGGCCTCCAGATACTGCCCCCTGGCTGGGTGCGGTAGGAGTGCCTCATGAGTATTCTTCACATGGCATCCACTGACACCTCGAGATGGCATGGTGGTGAAAGTTCTGACTCTCCACTATGGGGAAGGGAAGAAAGTAAGGAGTATCTCTTACTGCCAGGTGGAATAAAAGTCCAGGCTCCCCAGGTGGTCTCCACTGACACAGCAGGGAAGGGGGCCTCCAAACTGCCTGGCTGGGATGAACGTCTTGGCTCCCCACTTAGCCTCTGACACCATACAGCAGGGAGGTTGGGGGACCTCATTACAACCTGGCGAGGCCTGGTGAGGGCAAGGCCATAGTTTCTTCTGTGGTGTTTGGCTGAAGCAGGAGTGATTATAGTCTAGCAGTTTTTGTCTCACTAGGCTGCCCCTTTCTCCTGGTCCTCTGGCTAGGGAGGGGACACTTTTGCTAGAGCTTTTTTGTATGCATCTGTTAGCAGTGCCAGCTTCTTCAGCCTCAAGGTGGGATAGATGAGGTATAAACAAATCCCAAGGAGTTCACCATCATGTTGTTCTTTGGGTCCCAAGGTCCCTAGCCAGTCAATCTTCCTCTCTCTATCTTTCAGAGTCTTCTTATGTATGTTTTATATCTATTGTACAGGGTTTTTAGTTGTACTTAGCAAGAAGAATAGAGAAACATACACAACTACTCCGTCTGTCCAGAAATGGGAGTTCTCCACTTGTTTTTTAAATAATCTAATTTTTCTACTATTATGAATTGTAATAACATTAAGCATTTTTATAACTATAACCTGTTCCTTTGTAGCTGGGTTCTGATCTATCATTCTACTAAAACATAACATTATTTGATTACTAAAGGACATTTTGCTGTCAGTCACCTTGCATTTTTAGCATTTGTATTTTCTGGATTCTCTTCCTTTAAAATAAAACTATTCAAAGAATGGAATACATTTCTGCCCTCATGCCCCCTTCAATAGCTATGTTTGGTTTTGATCTGAACAAATTTGATCAAAATATTAAGTAAAGACATCAATCCTTAAGATATTTATAAAAGCCATTATAATGTTTTAATATTCATTTTCAAACAGATCTTAAGATTAGTAATAGAGAAGGATGTTTATTAAAGATTTTTTACTAGAGCCAGCTCAGTACTATCTCTATGTCTAGCCACTTTTTTCTTTCAATTTCTAAATTTTTTTCCTGCTTTTTCTCCCCAAATCCCTCCAGTACCTAGTTGTACATTTTAGTTGTGGGTCTTTCTAGTTGTGGCATGTGGGACACCGCCTCAGCGCGGCCCGATGAGCAGTGCCATGTCTGCGCCCAAGATCTGAACTGGTGAAGCCCTGGGCCATTGAAGCGAAGCACGCGAAATTAACCACTTGGCCATAGGGCCAGCCCCACAATTTCTAAATTTCTAATTGGGGTCTAAATAATTTATTAGCTAAGGCCTATTTATATATCTCATAAGGCTCTGGTAGAAACAAAGATATTTTGAGTAATTACCTACATGTAACCTGAAGTTCTTTTGTGTTCTATTCATCTACTTATATTTTCCTATATTACATTCAGGCATTCAATCAAAATATATTGGTAAACACTCTAATGGGTCTAACCCATTATGAGCCAAGCACTGTGCTGGGGTCTAGAAATACCAACATGAAGAACAATGCTGTCCTGCTCTTACATTCTTCTAAATCTTCCTGAGACAGTGAAATAACAAGGCAATGCTTCTCAGACTTTCCTACCACAAAACCCAAGCATGCAGAAGCCTACAGAACTCAAGGTATAAACAGTCTACTCAATCTTAAAAGTCTCCTGATTTATCCTTAAAATTCAGAAGAATATTACGAGCCATGATATATCCACCTTTGATTTAATTAAAAACATTTCCCCTCTGAAATATCTCTGAATAAACTCAAATGTAAAAATTTTATGTAACATAAAAGGAAGATACATAACATTTCTACCATTATTTGTATACCCTGACCCACCCAGACCTCAGCCTGAGGATCTCTCTACTAACAGAACAATTCTCAAACACACTACATAACATAGCAACCTCACCTCTATCTCTTTTGGCATCCCTGGCATACTTTGTATTAATTTTCTTCACAGCACTTACTATAAACTCAAATTTTAGATGATTATTATCTGACTCTTCCCTAATAGAATACGAGCTCCAAGAGCAACAACTCTATTTGGTTTATTACTCTATTCCCAGTACCTAGAACAGAGCCTAACATAATCAGCATTGAATAACCATTGAATAAACAAATGAGAATCATAGGAATTCTCGCTTTTATTTCTCATATAAGAAATCAAACTCCTATATCATATATCTTCAGAATGTCTTTCTATGATGATGGAAGATTCAACCTGAACTAACATCTGTTGCCAATCTTCCTCTTTTTTTTCTTTTCGTATGTGAGCCACCATCATAGCATGGCCACTGACAGACGAAAAGTACAGGTCCATGCCACAAAAAACTTTAAATTATATATGCAGCTTGCATCATATTTCTATTGGACAGCACTGCTCTAGAACAGTGCTCCTCAACTGGGGACAATTTCGTTCCCCAGGGGACACCTGGCAATATCTAGAAACATTTTTGGTTGTTACAACTTGAGAGTGCTATTGGCATCTAACAGGTGGAAGTCAGGGATGCTACTCAACATTCTACAATGCACAAGATAACTTTGTTTTGGAAACACAACATACCTAACTACCACCCCAACTACCACCTCAGTTCTCTTATCAGAATACAACTGAGAAAAGTATCCATTACATAAGAAAGTAAGGAGGAAGGTGGGAGGGTTGACAGAGTGGTTGTTATTAACAGAAAAGGTTTTCATGGAAGATGGAGAATTTGTGATGACAGAAGAAGGCTGGTATGATTTTAAAAGCAAAACAAAAGAATGAGGAATACATTTTCTTTTACTGTTTGAATAAAAGAAAAAACTACTATCAACAAAATGCATAGGAGAATGAGTGAGAAGTCTCAGGCTAATCAGGACCAGAAACTCTTGCCACAATTTAGAGAAGGAGGTCCTGAGGCCTTAAGCTAAGTATACTGCAGCTCAGAAAGAACAAATGAAATAATTATCCCTTAATATGTTGAAAGGATTTTTTTCTTTAAACATCCTAATCATATATAGCATATAAACATATTTCAAGGATGATAAATGAGCATTATGATGTGTTTAAGTAAAAATAAAGTAGAGAGTCATTTTTTTTATTGATCAATCAATAGTCCCGAGTAAGATTAGACCAAGTCTAAGCTGAAGCTGACGAGGCTTTTAGGCAGACAACATTACCTTTCTGTGTCAAGCGCCTCCTCATTTTTCATCCATCTTATGGTTGGAGTAGGAAGTCCCAAAGCAACACATGGCAACACTGCACTCTGACCAATGACTCTGACTAAGGAAGAAGGTTGTTTCAAAAATACCAAGTTTGATGTAACCTCAGGATCTAAAAAAAAAAAAAAATTAAATTAAAGGCAATGATTAAGAAAGCACTTTACCACTTTAATGATGAAGAATGGCAAACTCCTATTGAGTCTGTATGGTTTTATATAACAACATATTTTAACAAAGTGACCAAAGAAAATTCCATTTAAATTTGCAAATGTTACTTAACTTCTACGTGCAAAACATTGTGCTAGGTTCTCTGAGGGCCTTAAAGATGTGTAAGTTAAAGCTCCGGCCTTCAAGGTGCTTACTGGTCAACTGAGGGAGATTTAACATGAATTCCCTTCACTTTAAAAGACAGGACGAAGTCAATGTCTCATGAATGGTATAAATGGAGCAAAGACTGAGCAAGCTCAGGACCCTTAGCAGCATCCTCCACACTCACAGGGCTATCATAAGAGGTTTCCTTTCCCTCCCTATATCTGTGTGTTACTGCTGAAAATCTTTCAGAGTTTCATCTTTTTAACTTGCTCACTTAGTCCGTCAACCCTTTAATTTTATAATGATGCAACTATCAGGCTACCACTATGCGTGTGTTCACTTTATAAAGTTGCCCTCTTATGGACATATGAAAAGGCCACACTCTCATGGGTGGAAGAGAGGGTTCTCTACTTGATGGGGCGATATTTCCAGTGTTAAGTTTTAAGAAAAAAGACCATTCTCAGGCAAAGAGCTGTGACTCCTGTCCCCGTGATCTTAGGAAAAAATGTTCTATAGTCATGGTAACAACTACCAGCGCTGGCTCTAAACTTGTGTAACCAATCGATGACAGTTTCGTAGCCACGGTAACCAGCAAACACTGTCTAATAGATCACTGACAACTCACTTCAGTGAATATGCCTTTGAAAACCAACCAATCAGTGTTAGCCTCAGGTTTAAAAGTCAGCCATTTGGTGATGGAATCACTTGCTTCTAAGGCTGACATTAACCTGCTCTCACCTCTGTAAGCAACCATAAAACATGCTTCTATGAATGACATCAACCCACCCCTGCCTCCTAACACATCAAAAACAATGTCTTCCCAAAAATTCTATAGGAGATCAGCAGTTTGCATTATTTAAAAAGACTATGTTTGACAAGCATACCTCTCCATCGTTTACTTAAGTAAACAAACATTCAGTGCTTTGTTTTTTTTCAGGTATCGAGTGGTGGTTCATCCTTTGACATGGAGAATCCCATTTCCTTGGACCCAATTTTGAAGATTTGCTTGAATGTTACCCCAGGTATAGAGAAGAAATAGGACCTCTGCCATTTAAAGCAAGTCAGGAAGCAGGCTGGAGGCACTGCTATGTGGCAACAGTTCTCTCTTTTTTTTCACCTTGAATTACTTAGCTAGATTTAATCAGTTTTGATAGAAACAAACTTAAACAAGTATTTAGTGGCATGTATATGCCAGTTACCCTTCCTGGCCGCAGAGCAAATTCCCTGTCTTCGTTGAGCTTACATACTAATAGGGGGAGAGAGACAACAAATAAAAGATAAGGTATGTCAGATGGTGACACGTTCTGAAGTAAAATGAAGGAGGAGAAAGCACCGGGGTGGAAATGGAAGAGTGCCAAGTGCTGTTTTAAACAGTGGTCAAGGAAGGCTTCACTGATAAAGGGATATTTGAGCAGAGAGGTAAGACAGAGAGTCAGGCAGATATCCCAGGGAAGAAGACTCCAGGCAGAGAAAACGGCAAGTGGAAAGGCCCTAAAGCAAGAGCATGTTTGGAGTGCTCCAGAAACATAAGGTGGCCACAGTCACAGAGAGAGGGAGAGGAGCATGAGATGGAAGAAGAGAGATGGAGGAGGGAGGTGGCATTAAGATTATATAAAGCCTTAGAGGCCAAGGACTTTAACATCAACCCTGAGATGAGAAACTGTAAGGAGGTTCTGAGCAAAGATGTGACATGATCTAATACACGTTTAAAAGATAACTGTGGCTGCTGAGCTGGGAGTACACTAGTTTAGGAATGACAAGGGCAAGGATGATGATGACAAAGAAAGAAACGGCATTTTAAAAAATCAGTTCAAGGCCCATCAGCAACACCCTCAAGAGCTGCTGCTCATCACACTGGTCTCACTTTGCGAGCCAATCCACAGGCTGAAAATGAGCCTGCAAAGTAGTCACATATAAAAACTCTGCCCAGATAACATAGGGATGGTCCAGTTATATTCAGAAACTCAGATTTGAAATAAGAAATATGGAAAGAATCAGGTACCTAGCAGGGGGAAGAGAAACCGAAAGGTCATGAAACATCATGAGGCTCAAGGGACGATGACGAACTACAAGCGAGAGGAAGTCATGAGGAAGCAGAAGCACCAGTGCTGAACATACTTCCCTGCTTGATGAACTTTTACTGACTAACGCATTCACTAAAGACTGGATCTTTCTGGGATGTTTTCTTCTTTTTACCCCTCATAAGAAAACGAGACTCCTCATGCTGAGACTAGTGTGTCATACCACATACTTAACAGTGTTCACCGAAGAAAATTCTGACAGAAGAATTTTACCCATTAACAAACATAACACCATCAGTCCTGATAATAAATTAATACCTGGGAGAACTTTTAATTCAGCTTCATCACTATACTTCGGCGGCCCACCACTTTCCACTACGCAGCGATAAAGGCCCCCATCTCTTTCAGTCACGTTGCTGATGACCAGTGTTCCACTGGGGAGTTTGATAACTCTATCATCCAGAAGAAGAGGCTGTCTGTTCTGTTCCCACCTCACAAATGGGACCAAATCTGCATTAACTTCACAATTCAGAACTGCACTGTTTCCAGCATAAACTGAAGAAGGTTCCGGTTGGCTGGCAAACCTTGGAAGACCTGGACAATAAAGGAAAAGAAGAAATAAAATATCATTAAATATTACTTTAAAATGTAGTCATGAGGACCAGGAAGCAAGTCAGCCTGTGCGGCCACATGTATGGTAGAACCAGGGTCAAGAAGAAGGACCCTCAGCCAGGGGTGCTACCCAGACAGCAAAGCAAAAATTTCCACTGTGAAGAAATGAGACGGCCCAGAGAAAAAGACCTCTCACAGTAGTGAATTCTATGAGCTATCTACTTAGTGTCCTGTTATAAACTCCCCTTCTTTCTTGATTTGGCCACAACCAGCTTCTATCGCTTGCAACCAAAGAACTCTAACCAAGAGTCCTTTAGAATGGCAATTTCACAATATCTTTTTTTAAAAAAAAGTTTTACTGAAATACAATCTATATACCATAAAGTTTACCATTTAAAGTGCACAATTCAATGGTTTTTAGTATATGCACAGAATTGTATAGCCATCACTGTAATCTAATTTTGGAACATGTTCATCATCCCCAAAAGAAACTTTGTACTCACTTGTGGTCATTTCCCATTCTCTGTACCTATCCCCTTTGCTACCTCCTAATATCTTCATCTCCCCAACCCCAGACCTAGAAAACCACCAATCTACTTTCTGGCTCTATATACTTGCCTATTGTGGACATTTCATACATAGGAGATCATACAATGCAGGGATCTATTGTGACTGGCTTCTTTCACTTAGCATAATGTTTTTAAGGCTCATCCATGTTGCAGCAACTATAAGAACTCCATTCCTCTTTATCACTGAATAATGTTCCATTGTATGATTATAACACTTTCTGGTTATCCATTCATCACTTGACTGACATGTAGGTTGTTTTCACTTTTTGCTATTATAAATAATGCTGCTATGAACTTCCATGTACAAATTGTTATGCAGACATATCTTTTCATTTTTCTTGGGAATATACCTAGGAGTGGAATTACTGGGTCATATGGTACCTCTATATTTGACATTCTGAGGAACTGCCCAACAGTTCAGTGCTATCTTTTTAAATTATACACAGAAACAAAAGTATATCCTATGATCCAGCTATTACTGGAATTATTAATTCTAGTAGTCTATTTTACAGAAATAAAGATTTGCAAAAGGTTGTTCACTACAATATTGCCTATAACATCAAACAATTTCTAGCCATGTAACTTCATCAAAAAGGGAATCTTTGATAAATCGCAGTGTATCTATACAATGGGTAGTATGCAACTATTAAAAAGAACTTCTATTCATCTCTTAACTATTATTTCCTCCTGATATCCTGGTCAAGAGCAGGTTGAACAACTCTTCCATAGAATCTTGTCTGCAGCTAAAGAATTTATCATCTTGTATTAAAATTGCCTGTTTACTTAGATATTAGGTCAAAAACATTTCCTGAAGGATATGAAAGCTAAGAGGAAGGACGGACAAACCTAGCAGAGGAGAAGAAAGAGAAGAAAATGTGAAGGATAGGATTAATAGGCAGTTAAGGAAGCCATGAGCAAAGGCCAGAGGAAGAGGACGAAAGGGAACTCAAAGCATTCAGTAATGCCAGAGCTTATAACATGGTGAGGGTGGTGATGGTGCTGGAGGTGATTAGGGTGGTGATGGTGGTGAGGGTGGTGAGGGTGGTAAGGGCAGTGAGGATGGCAGTGCGCAGGGACAGAGGCAGGGTGGGGTGTTAAGAAACGAAGCTGGTGAAGTGGAGGCCAGCTTATGAAAGGATTCAAGAATGTGGACATTAACTTGATATTGGTACTGAAGAGCACTGAAGGGTGGGGAAGAGTGCTCTGACCACAGTGTGGAGAATGGACTGGAGGAGGGGAAGACTGAGGAGGCACAGTTTCAAGGCTGTGGTGAGGAATAACGAGGAGCCGCCTCAGGGAGGAGAATGTAGATCAAGTACAGAGAAGTTAGGAAGCAGAATTCACGGGATTTGGTGATTGGATGTGGGAGACAGCTGAAAGGAAGGAGTCAAGATTAAAGCCCAGTTTAACAACATAAATGTTAAACAGGAGCTGACCTAAGTGACATCATAGGGGCAGTATCATGCTAATTTATTTATCAATATGTCAGAGAAAGCCTGGCAAATAGATTTAAAAAAGAAGAAGAAAAGAGAAAAGGCAAATTGTCAAGAAAAACTAATTTTTTTCCCATTTTTCCATCCTCAATCTGTGATTACAGAATAATTACAGCGGCTTTACATGACAGTCAAACTCAACTTTAAGCATTTGGCTCCAAGAGAAAAAGAGCCATCCTACTCTGCATGAATGAGCAAATATACCCTGGAGTGAGCAGGAGATGGGGAACCATGACCCTGGAGTGGGAATGAGATGGAAAACTACTGTCTTGGTCGGTCATATTCTTTTTTTCACACGTTAGCATTTCACCAAGCTGAGAATAAATATAAGACAAAGATAATACAATTTCTGTACAATGTGACCCTTAATAAAAACTAACTACTTCATCTGGTACTCAAGTGAAGAAGCACTGATCTGAAGAATGCCAGTATCTACTACAAAACAGGTATGACTTATTCAGGAACCACCCATATCTTTCTCTTCTAGATCCTTAATTTTTCTTACACTTTCCATCATTCTGCAAATAAGGATGCTCTAAAAGGGAGTGAATGTCTTTTTCTTTACAATTTTCTGCTGTTCACCTTAAAAAAATACACACACACACATATATATAGCCTACAGATTTTTAAACAATTCATCCAGTTAAATGTCATTTCCTTGGTTAAGGCATAAAGGAACCAAGATTCTGGTTTATACTGCAAGTTTAGAAAACTATACTAAATGGCTATGCTGGGAGGGATAAAAGTTAGCAATCAAAGTGACTTGATTTTCCTACACAACTTCCCCTGTGATTTCCAAGTTAAAAAGAAAAACAGAACCGGCTCAATACTTCTGATAGCAAGTTTAAGCCATCTAAATCATAGAAAGTGGAAAAGTGCTACAGTTTATTCCATACAGTACTGAGCAAGTCCTAGCATAATCCCATACACACAGTATATGCTCAACTGATACTTGTTAAATGAGTGTATTTGCTGTTATCGGTTAAATGAAAACTCTAAGATAATACTGCTTTTATCAAGATTTACTCTGTATAAAAATTTGAAAATACAAATAAATTCCTTAACAAAACTTACTTGCTACTGTGAGCTTGGCTGTTCTACTGACAATAGTTCCAAGATTCTCAACAGTGGCTACACACTGATAATAGCCTTCATCAGGTTTATTGTGTTTGGCATGCACCACATTGGTGATAAATAAAGACCCATCTGGGAGAAGCTGGCGTCGATCATCCGATACTAAGTTTAAAAAAGTTCCATCTTTTTTCCACTCAATTTTTGGAGAAGGCTCAGAATATGCTGAACAGTTTAATATAACAGAAGAGCCTCTACTTGAGAGTGTATCCACTGGCTCCACCAGAAAATAAAATGGAGTGAATGTTCGAACACCGGATCCTACAAAAATAAAGAAAAAGAACAAAGTTAAGCAAAACTTTCTTACACCACTTCTGTAAGAAAATATAACATGTCTCAAAATTATTCTTAAATGGTTATGCTTTTTGGGTATGATACACAAATACAGTCATTTCACTATGAATGTCTAATAAATAAAATTCACTTTTTACTAGGAAATCAAAATTTGACCCATTTAGAATAAGATTAGGAAAAAAGACCCTGCTAGCTGAGATAATCAAACCTTGTTAGATGATATAGCTAATAAAAGTTTTATTTCAAACCCTACAATGGGATTTACAAATATTTTAAATTATCATATTCAAAGTGAAATTTTCTGTGGAACATAAAGGAGGCAGAAAATTGAAAGGATTCTTCGTTAGTATGGTATCCTTCCTATGTTTACTCACTGTATTTCTTTCATAAATTCACTATACATACATTTTCTCCATTTTTCTAGTGGATTATTCCTCCTATTCACTTAAAAACAATCTTTGGGCACAGCAATCTTGTTTTACAAATATTCTTTTTTCTATTTTGAGTTTATAATTTTTGTCATACGAAATAAATTTTAATTACATAAAATTAAATGTTATACTTAAAAAGCTCACCTCTATTCCAAAATGTAAAAAATGTCATCTGTGTTTTATGCTAGTACTTTTGTGGTTTTATTTTCTATATTTAATTTTCATCTAGAATTCATTTTGATACAAAGAGCACAAGAGGGATCAGTTTAATTTTTCTAAGACCTTGACCAGTTTTTTGAACATGGTTCTTGAGAACATAATTTTAAAGAAAATATTACTGCAAACCTTATATTCTCAGTCAGAGAAAGCTTTCCAACTTAAAGCTTAAAAACCTCTTTTCGTCAACACAACTACTCACCAACCCCCTTTTGAACAACTCAATTTGTAATCAAATTTCTTTAAGTGAACAATCAGGGAGGGGTAGTCCAATAAATTAAACTAACATTGATTTCCAAACATATCTACATACGCCTTTATACTTTATATATATCTACATACCCCATTTACTTACATTATGAATTTAAGGATGACTAATTTCTTTATTACATAATTAAATAATAGTCCTAAATAAATACAAAACACACTAGCAGAAGGAAGGAAATAATATTCACTTGTTTTAAAGTTTTCCTATACTTATAATCATACACAAATTCCAAACAGACTAATTACCCTTTCCCAAACACCACAAGGGGGTCTCCACCCCTATTTGATGAACATAAAATTGATTTTTCAAGTCTTAAAACTCTTGAAAATGAGCTTACGAATTTTTCAAAGTAACCTGCAATGACATGCCTCTTATTCCATAAAAAATTTTATATTGAAGTAATTTACTGGAACTGTAGTAAAATAAATCAAAATATAAACTTCAGGGCAGTACGAAATGATGGCTAAACTAAGAGAAATTACTTTTATTCCTTTCCTATATAACTATTAAATCTTTATTATACCACTCAAATTTAAACAAAACTCAGGAACTTAAAAGAGATAAATGTATGTATTAGATTGGCAATCAAAATATGCAAATTAGCAATTTAAAATATTTTATTACATATATCAATAAACAAAATATTTAATTTTAAAACTTGGACAAAATTTTTGTCATTTGAAAAAAAATTACATCAATGTAATCGCTGGCAGCCATCGTTTTCTTTTTTAATAACATAAATCTTTGTTGTTGGTGAATAATCCTTTATTGGGAACAGAGATTATTTTTTAAAAGATCTACCATCATTTTCTTTAACCACTTTTCCTTTGTCACAGTACAAGGGCCAGAGAGTCACTCTTTGGCTGCCTTTATATAAAAACTGTCCTTTATTTTTCATCAGGGTCCTGATTCCCTATCCACTTACGTTTGCTTAATTTTAGTTTACTATGATCAAAGTCACCACACAAATTATTCTGAAATAGGCTTAGTGATCCTGTCTGATCTCTTCTACATTCCCAGGTCTCTGCAAATTTCTCACTTCTTAACGGAATAGCTCTCACTTCTTGATAGACTATTCCTCACTTTTTGATAAAATATTTCACACTCCTTGACAGAATCTCATCTTACGAAAGGAAAATATCCACAGGGAACTTCTTTCAGTTGTAATCCCTCCACCTCCAGATATCAACAAATCATGTCACTCACTATAAATCTTAATTGTATAATTAATTTATTATAATTTATTATAAAATTTATTATAATAATAATATTAAATTTTATTGTACCCAGAGTAGAAAAATAACATACAGTATTTGAACACTGGCAGAAATAAAATGACATCTGCCTTATTGACCAAAGAGGTTCAAAGTTTTGATAGCAGCAGAAAGGCAGGACAGAAGGATAAGCAAGATTTTAATACACCTACAAATGTAAGAATGCTGTATAATGTTATTCATCCTAAGAAAATTCTCTCTTCATTATAACCTAAGAGACTAATGTCGAAGGACTTCCTGTTTCTTTTGCTCCTTCATAACATTACTTTCAACCATCCTATCCCATCCAGTCAGTCTCTCAATCTTCCATTCCAGCTTCCTGATCCTTTGGTGTCCACTTTCATCATACAGTTCAGGGTCTCTTGCTTCAAGTTCTCAATTTATAATTAAAAAGTTTAAAGATTAGAAAGTTAAAATAATTTAACATTCAAAGGGCTCAACCAAACACATTCATGTTATCAAGAAAAGGCAACACTTGAGAGTTAACAAATGTTTCCCACCTTGTTTTGCCACATAACAATGCTCCCAGCTCCACAGCTCAGCACTTGTCTGCCCAGTTAATTCCTCCCAAGACTGGAGCTACGCAAAACTCCTTTTCTGGGAATTTCAAGTAAGGTAAGTGGCTAGTTGCTAATATTATATGGATGATTTTAATTGTCTGATAAATACATATGCTTTGAAAAACTTTTATGGTACAGGTATGCCATAAAAACAGTGACTGTCAACTTCTAATCAAAGCTGGATCTGAAATTCCTTGTCAGGATCATAATGTCCAAACAGGGAAATTCATTTTCATTATTCTAATTTACAGCTTCTACCTTCCCAACCACTCCCCCAAATGAAAAATATCTGAATTCACTTATTCAATAAATACTTATTATAATAAGAGTGCCTTCCTTTTCTTCAATTTTCAGCCTTCCTCCTCTCCCCTGTCCCCCCAAAAAACAGCCATAGTGGGAAAAAGGTTGGTAAAATGAAGTCAAGCAGACATGGTTTTGAATCCTAGCTCTGCTAGGCTAGTGAATTTATCTCCGTGTCTACAATTTTCTCCCCTATAAAAGAGGAAAAATAATGACTTCCACTCAAGGAAATGTCTGTGAAGATGTGTACAGTGCATGCCTCACTGCTTGGCAGATAAGAGGTGTTCAATAAATAGCAACTAGTCATAGTTCAAAAGCCTATAATATTTCCCCCCAAATCGCTAACATCTAGCGTGTTACTTTTCACTAATTTTATTTTAGAAATTGTTATGCATAAAATAATATAGACCTTATATTTTTACTTTTAATCACATTTTGACAATTATGTGTAAAATAAGTGATCTTAAAACTCAAGTTTGATCATCTTTCTCCTCTGCCTAATTGTCAACGGCTCCCCATTACAGCTGATATAAAGTCCAAATGCATTACCTTGTCCTTTAAAAAGGGCTACTGGATCTGTTTTCTGCCTCTCTATAACCTAATTTCACATCACACTTTCCTCTAACTCAATAAGCTTCGGCCACATTATTCAATTTCTTGAACAAGCCATGTTCTTTCCCATATGAAAGTCGCTGCATCTGCTGTCCCCACTGCCTGAACCCTTGTTCCGCACACTCTTCCCTCACACAGCTAGGTTATTCTCATCCTTCATGTTCCAATCCACTGTCACTTCTACAGAGGCCCTCTCTGACAACTAGCTCTGAAAAGGTCTTCTATCCTGCCCCTATGTGTTCTTCTCAGCAATGAACCTTCTATGTCTGTTTTTAAGGCCTATCTTCCCCACTAGAAGGCTAGACTACAAGAGACTACTAAAATGACCCCAGGTTTGCCATTGCTACTTGCTGTTTGTACCTTGGTTTGTTTTTGTGTTTTATTTTTCTTTAAAAGATTGGCACCTGAGCTAACATCTGTTGCCAATCTTCTTCTTTTTCTTCTTCTCCCCAAAGCCCCCCAGTACATGGTTGTATACTCCAGTTGCAGGTCCTTCTGGCTCTGCTATGTAGGATGCCGCCTCAGCATGGCCTGATGAGCAGAGCTAGGTCCACACCCAGTACCTGAACTGGCAAAACCCTGGGCCACCAAAGCAGAGTGTGCAACCTTAACCATAAGGACACGGGGCCGGCCTCTGTTTTTGTGTTTTGTTTGTGTGTTTGTATCCTTTTCAGGATCCTACAGATCAGAAAGGTGGCTGGGCCAAGATGGAATTAAGTATTAAAGATTTTTAGTGACTTTGCACAACATCAAATCTCCACTGTTTTTTCTAAGATCAGCCTCAGTCTCAAAAATTTTTAGATGATTTCAAATGTGTCCTTTGTAAAAATGTTTAATATCACTTTTTAAAGTGCCACAAATAATTAATATTAATATTTTATAATTCCTACATGATTGGCAAGACTAGGTACAATCTGATAACCTGCAAACAATACCACGTTCTGAACAGTTATCCGGAAATTCTCTACAACAATTCTCAGAAAAAATATGTTAGTAATAGTCTTAGTTAACATGCCAACGATATTAACGATATTTATATTTCAGCTCAAAATCGGGAGAAAATCTGAATTGGTCATTTTTCATTGTGCTAGATGAGAAAAATGTAAGAATTTTCACATTAACTATATAGAACTTTCATGAAAACATCTTATATGCAACTTTTTGTTATTTGTGGCCAGAAGATTCTCCTAAAAGTAAGACATTTCACCTAATACTTGATGCCAAGTTTTCTGAATTTCTGAAACAAGAATATTTTTCAGTTCTACTTTTGTGTATTACACTAATGAAAATATGAGTTAAATGATAA